GTTGGCCGAAGAGTTTGGGTACCATGGATTCTTCACATTTCATCGCGCGGGCTGGTGCGCCTATCTGGATTACCTGATGATGGAGAGCGCAAAGAAACCAGCGCGTGATTTAGACCGTGACCTTGTGTTTTATCCGTCAAGTTACACCAAGCAGAAAGCTGATGGCGAGCTTGCAGGGATGTCCTCGCAGGTGGCTGGCAGAAAGAAGAATGAGGGGCTGCAGAAAGGTCCGTCGGAGGCCTTGCAGAAACGACGCCGGCGCATGTCTTTTAGCGAGCTTACAGACTTTGTTGTCGAAAGGAAGATTTCAACAGTGGCAGAGCTATGGAAGGCCTGGCACACATACAATCTGGAGACTGTTTTCCATCAAGCGTAATATCAGTCTTAGATAAGCATCCTCCTTGGTAGAAACAACGCGGTTGGAACGACAAGGTGCATCATAGGCAGTCCAATGTTTGGTCCAATCACTTCGTTGGGGATGCCGCGGGTTTTGTGGTCATGCCCACAGTGCTTTGTTTATAATTCCCTCTCATCGCCAGGCCGCCAAAGAGGAAAAGATGCGTGGCAACTCTTTGGTTTGGGACCATGTGGGGCAGCTTCGGGATCCAGCTGCGGAAGTGCAGAAAATCTTGGCTGCGTGGCACCGACCTGAAACCTTGGGGGCTTCAACTCTTATCACCTCACCACGCTTTCCTTTGGAGCACTTTGATGTACCTCCACGGGTCCTGCAGTGGAAGGAGACCCAATCCCTCACCCATACCTTAATCCTGCGTGGTCCGCCTGGGACTGGGAAGACTGAAATGGCTATATCCGTGCTTTTGTCCACATGCCGCGCTGGCATCCACTTTGTCAGCAAGCTTGATCAGATGCATAAGATCACCGTGCACCCAGGTGAGGGACTTGTTGTCGATGAGGCTTGTTTCAGGACAGTGAGCATTGATGATGCGAAAGCTTGGTGCGATGTGACTCACGCACGCGATGTGCACAACCGTTGCTCTGACGGACACATTCCAGCGCAAACGCCAAGGATCTTCACTACAAACCATGAAGTCCCACAGTTTTGGCCCCCAGAGTATTTTCCTTCCAGTCATCAGGCTGCAATTGATCGGAGAACTGTTTGGGTTGACTGCCCAAACAAGCTGTTCAAGGACAGGGAAGCAACGTGCAAGGGTAACAACGTAACGTTACGAAGCGCCATACAAGGGAGGTGTATTGCCCCCCAAAAGTGTGTAACGCAGGTGGTCAGCGAGGTTCATTGAATCTCCTTTGAATGGCCCTTCCCAACGTTATGTTTTGGTTGTTGGAAATTCCAAGTTGGAAAGTGTTTTTCTGGAATGCCTGGCCCTTCGCAACTTTACTTTTTTGCTGGAATGGCCCTTCTCAAGGTTGAGTTTTTTGTTACTGAAATTGCTTCCCACACTGTGCGGTGTTACATCTGATGTTTTGTCGCTGAGGCTATATTTCCAACATTATGCACTGTTAAATCTTGTGCTTTGTTCATGTTCCGTTTCCCTCCACAACTGCATTCCCAACTGGCGCTTGATCTTGGGCTGGGTATTCTCGGATTACCTGGCAAGGAGCCACAGGCTGATTCGGACGCCTGTGCATCCCATATGATCTCAGATACACCAGTGGCTGCAGCGGCTGCGATCTTGCGGCCAGATCAGGAGCCACAGGGTGAGTCGTCCGGAGCGGACGCCTTCAAGGCCCATAGGATCTCAGAGACAGCAGCGGCTGCAGCGGAAGATCTCTTGTGGCCGGATGACGATGAACTCAACGAGATGATGGAAGATTCATTTGATTTTTGAATTTCTGAACAGTGTATTCATATGCCAATTGCAGCATCTATCGTCTATCAACAGACGCCGAAGGCGCTACGCGAGAAAAGAATAGTGGTATTGACGTGAGGGCGCAATCGTGGGATGGTGGACCCGTATTTGTGATGTACTACAATCGTAGAAGTAGTTTTACCTGACACCGGTTCAGGGTTTCACCTCCCACAACCCCACTCAAGTCTGGTGGACACAATGTGAGAAAACCATACACTTTGACATTGGGTTTTTTTTTACCAGGGGATATATCTGGGACCCAACCGACACCATCGCGAGGTGTAGAAATTGCGGTTTGTAGACGAGGTTCCTTTGGTGCTTCAAATTTGAGGAGACCACCGATTCTGGTTCAAAGGAAGACAACCGGGCTATCGGATCGTGTTGCTGAGGTGCGGCCATTGCCCCCCATTCATTCCATGAGTCGAGCTGTGCAGTGGAAACAAAGAACGCCGGGGTGGCACACCAAACTGGGACGTTTTAGAGGTAGGAGTTCCACTTCCCTTCATTGGGCCCTAGATGTGTGTGTGTGTTGTGCACTATAGACTCCAGTCTTCTAACTGTTGCCTTCTGAGCAGTCATTTCCTTTTCATAGAGTCTGTCTCGAAGCTTGGCAGTGTCACAAACTCATACAATATAACACACGTTGTATGTTTGCACTCGTGCGCAGCAGCCAATCACGTTATGGAATGCTCCATGTTTCCTGTGCCTTGACCAATTTCGTTGTTCCGCAGACCTTCTCGGCCAAAGACAATTTGCCAACGGTCCAGCTACTGGCGCAGCGCACTCCCGCGTTTGTATATGTGCCCCGGTGGGGAAGAGCATGTCGCTGGCAGAATCACCGTGCGCAAAGAGAGCCAGAGTGCAGCAGTTGCAGCTGCTGTTGCAAGAAAACAGGCGTGAGCTGGCGCAGTGCCGGCAGCGTGTGGCGAGGTGGGCGGCCAAACGTGGTAATTTAGGCTTGACTTCAGCAGGACAAAAGGCAGTACTTGCTTGCTATTGCTTGTCAAACTACAACAGCGCCATTGCCACCAAGCTTGCGCAGCAACTCAGCGACTTGGAGAGATCTTCCCCCCAGTTTCCGTCAGAACCATTGGTCCAATCTCTGTTTCGAGAGACAAACCTTGGAGAGCTCCTGCGGCTGCACAGAGACGATGATGATTGGACAAAAGCCAGAAATGTGGCCGTTCGCTTTGTGGCAGAGGTGAAGACGGTGGACTATGTCCACTCGCAAAACAGTCTCCATGGTGTCGCGCCAACTTCGGCTGAGGTTTTTGCGCATTTTGCGCAGACACGCTCGGGCGGTTTACCGGAGGTACTCCCAAGCCGCGACTATATCAAGAAGTGGGCTGCTGGTTGGCGAAAACGCTTTGGCATCCGAAGGGCGGCCTTGCCCATGGCCATTCCAGCAGATGCACCGAGCTTGCGGGCAAAGGTGCTTCGAGTGGTGTCAGTATAGGTGGTCAAACCGGTCAAACCAAGGGGCCAAAAATGGGACCGAAAAATGGACCTGAAACAAGGTCCGCCTTGTGAAAAATTGTTTTCGGTTGCGAGGCAGCTTTGGGGACAGTTTTTGGCCCCGGATTCTTTTTTGAGGGTGTGCTTTGAATTAGAATGAATGGCTCGGAGGTGAAATGCTTCTGGAAGATGCTGGCGTTTCAGCGTGGTCCAGAGGCTTGTGATGGTCGTGAGATTTTGTATCTCAATGTGGATGAAACAAGTGTGCCCTACACTGCACGACCTGCTATTGGTTGTGTGATCAACCGCAAGCAGTACAAGGGCTCCGGCCTCCCAGCCGTGCCCCACGCCAAAATCCAGCCTGCCGGCAGGCGAGGTACTTTTACGTACTGCGCTGTTATTGCTTCAAATACAGGAATTCAACCAGCACTACCCCACTTTCTTGTGAGCAATGGCACCAGGCTGAGCAGCAAGGTAGTGAAGGCCTTCAAGCGCTTGCCGAAGACCCAATTGCAAGTGCTTCGCCGGAAGAGTGCGTGGGTTACCAGTGATTTGATGATCGCAATCTTGCAAGAAGTGGCAAAAGCATTAGAACCGTTTTTGCATCAATTTAGGCCGGTATTGCTCTTGGACGGGGCGCCAGCTCACGTTTCAGAGGCAGTCATGCGTGCTGCAAGAAAGTTGAACATTTCGCTGGTATATATTCCATGTGGAGCAACTAGCCTGTGCCAGCCTTTGGACGTCTATGCGTTCTCCAGCTTCAAGCAATACCTCCGCCAGAAATACCACGAGCACAGGCAGACAGCCACTGATGGCTTGCCATCGACTTTAGCGTGGCTGTGGCAATTAGGCCAGGCGCCAAGGCAATTTTTTTGTTCCAAGTCTTGGGCCAAATGTTTCCGCGGAGTTGGGGCCAGTGGCAAAGCCAGCGACCTCCACTCTGTACTTGCCTCTTTCATGGAGCACCCTACATGTCTCCCTGCTTCATCCAAGCCAACGTCAGAGGACGTTCGGCTGATATGGCCGCAGAACCGTCGCATGAAATACGCATATGCGTGTTTGTATGATGGTGAAGACTGAGGAAGCACCATGCAAAAAAGTGCCCGTGCAGTCAATTCTTCGAGGGGTGCAACTGCTGAACTTGGAAGACGGTCCATTTTTTCGGTTTGGAAATTCGCGCCGTCGGGCGCCGTCGGTGCCCGTCCGTGGGGCAGTACATGTTGCTCAAGCACTCGTCCCCAATATTTATATATTATATAGACACTCCCGACTGCCATGTCTGACGCAGCCGCTGATGAAGAAGCAACAGCAGCAGCAGCTCCGGCTGCGAGGCGCCCCGCCATCATATATCTGTTGGTTCGCACCGCCGGCACGCACATAGTACGCTGATCATGTTTGGGAGCGCCCACAAGCAACGTGATTTTGTTTGGGCCGCATCTGGACATTAATGTTTATCATTTTTGGAAAGGCTATACTTGGCACCAGACTGGTTCAGACCTCCAACCACTTCCTGATGAATTTAAGTCGTGAGGCACCCAGCCGCCGATCGGCTGGTTTCGCTCAAAACACAGCGGCAGAACCTGAAGCGGCAGCTCCAGCAAGCGAACCGTGAGGTTCGCAATGAGGCGACCGGCGCATGATCCACATGTATTGTTGAAATTTGATGCAGTATTGTGTTGCTTGTGCTTCCGACTTGCGCGCGGCGCGACTCATTCTGGCGCACATGCAGGAGAAAAAGCGACAGAGACTCATGCGGCGCGCTGGCAAGTTGAGCTCTGCTGATCTCACCTGGCTGCTGGCGCGTCGAGTGCAATCTGAGCAGTCTGAGCAGATGTCCACATAGCTATATTGCAGGGCACATTGGCAGTGTTTGGGGAAAGAGAGACTTGCGCCCATGTGCTAGCTTTTGTTGACAGCTAAGCTGACAACTGCTGAGCGGGGGCTGTCAGAGCAACCTTGCTGAAGTGGCCGTGCTCGCAGAAGCCGGCGCAAGCGATAAATATGTCACCTGTCACCCACGTGCTAGCTTTTTGTTTACAGCTAAGCTGACAACTGCTGAGCGAGGGCTGTAAGAGCAACCTTGCCGAACTGGCCGTGCTCGCAAAAGCTGGCGTATGCTGGGCTAGAGTCCCTCACATCTCTCCCTCTCTCTCTGTCTAGGCTTGCTAGTCCAGGTTTGTCGTGCCCGCAGTACCCTGCAGCAGCTGAGGCAGATAATATGAGCTCCTCAAAGAGATAGTGAGATGTTTGATGTTGACATACTATTACCGTGTAATATGATGCGTCAACTACAGGGTTGGCCCAATAAAGAAACATGTGACGCAAATTGTTTGGTTGCGTGCGGTTGCCCTTGCCTTGTTACCGGGGTTTATGTTTTGGACCACCTCCAGAAGCAGTTTTCGGAAACCCTTCGGTCATTCTTGCTCTGGATTGCAGCCAGGAAGCGGAACAACTTTGAAAGGAAAAACGGTATCACAGAAATTAAAGACAAGCAGACCACAAGATGATA